ATAAATAAACAAATGAAGTATCACGAGACGTAATTAAATCGTGAAGCTGAACGCATGATGTACACCTTTTCCTAAAACTTTAAGTACTGACAGAGGTACTAATTGGGTCAACCGGTCAACTGGGACAAATCTGCTATATCCCCTTCCGCGTCTCTTAGCAATGTGCACAGTTTCTCGGTTTATGTAAGGTTATGCAAGCATTTTTGGACATATATTTATACGAACTTTTTTACTTATTCGGACCACCCTGTATATGTATATATAATAATAAATAATAATAATAACTCCCGTATATGGCGTTTAACGCCTTGGGAGTAGCAAGGTACAGCTTGCCATGCTAGAGCCGTTCGGTATACAAGGAAGGTAACGTGGCTAGCACTACTCTTCAACCGCCTATTATTACCTCAGGATTGTGCATCCCAAGTACTCATTTAAGGCTGAGTCGACCTAGGTATCCAAACTATTTTTATTTTAATAAAAATAGTCGTCTGATGAAATGCCGGGTGTAGGATTCGAACCTATTACCTTGAGATTAGTAGACGATAGCCTGTACCTCTACGCCACCGGACACCGTGTATATATATATAATATAAATATAAATAAAATATTAGACTTCAGATTAATCTTTACATATACAAATAAAGAAAAAAGTTGAGTGATGCTTGAGTGATATGAAAGCATAAAGTTGAGCCTTACACGTTCATATTTTATTATATGCATAGTCAAATTTTACACGTATGTGAAAGATCTGCTGTTTGCCATTTATTTCTTTCAAGAAAGAGATTATTTGTCAGAAGCTTGGCGATATAGCGGTATTTTGTCAAGATTAGACGTAAAATAAGTTTTCCTTTATGCTTATTTTCCGCTGAAGGGACTGGAAAAACCGGCTGCGTACGGTTACGTAAATCCCTCGACACAGGTAGCTCAGAAAAACCTCTTTTATTTTGAATATAAAGTAGAATATGTTAGAGCGATGTCTGGCCATTTTTTCAAATTTCGTCATAAGCAAAGATGTAAATGTTTGGTTTCCGGTTTTGATTACAGTTAATCCATCAACATTATCAATTAATCAGTGCAAGCAGGTTTATTTCGACATTTTAAAATTATTTGGAGTTCTACAGGGTCTTTCTAAAAAACATAATAAAGTTGTATTTATTTTAAGGAATACCTTATACAGGGTGAGTTTTCTACGATGTTCTCTATGGCTTTCTCGGAAACTACTGGAGATAGAGTCGGTTAAATGGGTAAAGAATTGTAGTTTTGTGGGGCATAAATATGCGCCTTTCAGATTTTTGAAAAAGTTCATGGCTTACTAGATATTTCGAAAAAATCAAATTTCGGCTATTTTAAAAATGGTACCATTATAATCTATTTTAGACAAAAAGTTTTCAGATAAAAGTTGTAGAAAGTTGTAGGTTATATCCTTACATTATGTTCTACTTTTTTTTAAAGTCTGTCATTTCTGACATATGACAAAAACTTATGTTTTTCTAAATGGAAACCATATAGCCAATTCTTATCAATTTTAAACAATTTCACTTAGTTAGCCATGGAAACAAGTCCACTCGTCGTTGCTCTCAGAAATGTCATACTGTCACATCCAAACTTTGTAAATTAAAATAATCAAAAATTGTAAATATGAATTTTACAAATGAAGAAAAGCGTGTAAGATTATTAGTTCAACTTTTCTTGACTATACATTTTCGAGGATACGTTACATACGTTTTTAGAGAACGATTTTCAATACATGTTAGAAAAGCTAAATTTAGAGACACGCGCATCAATGGAGTGGTTCCAACATGACTTTCATTATGACACTCCCCTCCATAATGAAAAAAATGTTAAAAATTATTTATATCATAATTACTTAAAAAGGATAGGAATAGGTGGACCAATTGCATGGATCTCCTCGATCACCTGACCTATCTATTTTAGATTTTTTTATGCGGTATTATTTTTTTATTATTTTTTGAATATTTTCTAAAATAATTTAAAGTGTATGTAGTGATATTATTTTTTTACGTTTTAGTTTGTGTAATGTAAATTGTAAAGAACTGTTTAAAATAAAATATTCTGTCTTTTTATAAGTTATAAATTATAATAATTAAATAAATAACATAATAGGAATATCATGCCAACTATGTGAAATTAGCCAAGAAAGATAAGAATTGGCTATAATTCAGGAATTAAAAAAAAACATATTATAGCTTATATCGCTAAAAAGCTTAAAAAATGGCTTTCTTTATGAAGTCATGGCCAAATATGGTTTCCATTTAAAAAAACATAAATTTGTGTCAATTGTCAAAAATGACAGGCTTTAGAAAGAAACGGAGAACAGAGTCTCATTAAGGATGTGATTATCTACAACTTTTATCTGAAAACTTTTTGTCTAAAATAGATTATAATGAAATTAGAGACCATTTTTAAAACAGTCTAAATTTGTTTTTTTTAAATATCTAGAAAGCCATGAACTTTTTCAAAAATCTGAAAAGCGCATATTTATGACACCACAAAACTGCAATTCTTTCCCCATTTAACCGAGTATCTATCTCCAGTAGTTTCCGAGAAAGCTATAGAGAACATCGTAGAAAACTCACCCTGTATATTGGCTGATTTTTCGATTCTGTGGAAAAACTCCAGCTTACTTTATTTCACTCCACTTTTTTTATTCTTATTTTATAAACAATTTTATGTCTTTCTTCATTTAGAGTATTTAGGTTGGATTCCGTTTCTGATTTTGTTAAACTTTTTATTATTACGAAACATGGTTCCCGAATAATGTCTATCAATATTGTCACCAAATTAATCGTATTCTACAGGATGTTTGTATATAACACCTAAAGTAACTTTTACTTTCAAAATGCCATTCGAATATCTGCAAGCGCTTGAAACGAATTTATAATACATCGAAAAAAATATTTTAGCCCCCTGTATCTACGACACAGGCTACGACACAAAACAGAAATCGACCTCTGTTGATATTAAAAATTAATGTTATTTTTACGTGAAGAATCTCCCACGAGAGATAGCAAATGTATTTTTAAAATACCCTGTATAATAAGAATATTAAATCAAAACATTTCAACTGCAACCAAACCGTTCTGTATTTAACCGATATTTTTCAGGAATGGATCCGTATCCATATCAAGCTGCTTAACTTGGTTTTATAACGAGTGGTGAAGCTAGAACTTTTTTTTGGGGGGTGGGGGGGGGGGGGGACAAGCAATTTTCCCAACTTCCTACTTTTTTTTAAAGGCCATTATACATGTAATAATGTATCGTGATAGGAATAAAAACCCTTGTTCTAAAAAAATTGTTTTATTAATTTAAATTTTAAATTTGACATTATTGAACATTATAACATGCATAAATAATAATTATTGTTATGACAACTCTAAAATTAAAATAAAATCGTACCATCCTTAATATTTTATTTAATAACTAGCGTGTACCAGCGACTTCGTTCGCGTCGAATTAATCATTTGTAATGGTGATGATAAAGCAAAGCAAGAATTTCCATTAACGTACAAACTGGATAAAATTTTCTCACATTTATGTCAGCATGAGAAAAAACAATATTGCGATATTATTATATAACTTGGTAATATTTGAGGGGTAGTTTCATCTCGTTGGAATTTGACTTTCGAAAAATCCGTTTGCCAAAAATAAGCTTTTTACGTCAAGCCGTTTAAGCAGAATCGTGGTTAAGAAATTACCCAACTTTTTGGAACACCCGGTATGATTTTTTAAAAAAATTCAAAATATGTAAAAAAACCAAATAAATTATGCTTGTCCAATTGTAATATTTGAGGGGCGTTTTCACCCTCTTGGAATTTGAGATTCGAGAAACCCCTCCTTATCGAACCTCTACACCCCACAGTCAATCCGTTTGCTAAAAATCAGCTTTAAACGTCAAGCAGTTTAAGCAGAATCGTGATTATTCAATGGTCATATTTTATGAAACACCCTGTATAAATGATATTATTATAGTATAAAAATCTTAAAATATGTAAAACAACAAAATAAGATATACGTGTTTAAGAGTTTTTCCGAAAAACTCACCGGTTTTTAAATAAAAAATATTTTAATATTTGAGGGATATAGTTTCACCTCCTTAGAATTCGAGTTTCGAAAAATCCCTTCTTATCGAACCTCTAAACCCTAAACTCAATCTGTTTTCCAAAAATCAGCTTTTTACGTCAAGCGCTTTAAGCAGGATCGTGATTAATCAATTACCAGATTTTTCGAAACACAATGTATACGTTTTTAAAAAATCTTAATATATGCAAAAAAACAAAATAAAATATACTTGTTTAAGCGTTTTTTCGGAAACTTGACCGCTTTTTAAATAAAAAAATATTGTAATATTTGAGGGGTAGTTTCACCCTCTTGGAACTGGAATTTCGAAAAATCCCTTCTTATCGAACCTCTACACCCTAGAATCAACCTGTATGCCAAAATTGAGCTTCTTACGTTGAGTGGTTTGAGCAGGATCGTGATTAATCAGTATGTCATTCACTTAAGGATTTTATATATTGGTATAGACTAGTCGTCTGGTCTTCAAAGTGGCCCAAGTTGTTATTAGTTTTTGTAAAAGTAAGTTGATGGCAATATCTGCTTTACATTAGTGCAGCGGCAAATTTTATTTTTTATTTTTGACAAATTTGGGATTTAGACGTCGCGTTGTCATGACTAATTTCCCAACTCAATTATACATTGGGGGGGAGCATCCCCCCCCCCCCCTCTTTATCCCCAATAGCTTCACCACTGTTTATAACAGAATTCAGTCTTCCAGTTCATATCAAAATACTACATTTGGCCGTTACATGCTACTTGTATTTTTAAGATTCTTGTATTTGTAGATGTTGTTGAAGATGATATTCTACGATAACTGATACGCATATTAAAATAAATTGTTAAATCTGAGAGAGTTAGATTATAGCTAAAGCCGAATGGCCCTCAAAATACGATTTTTGCTACATTTGACAAAGTTAAATTACCTGAGAATATACTAGCTATTGCTGCTATAATGAAGCTGATGACCACACCTGGACCAGCCACGTTTTTTGCCACCATCCCTGCTACCAAATACATTCCGGTACCAACACAACTGCCAACTCCCAGAGACGTCAAATCTAGTGTGGTAAGACATTTCTGAAAAATAAAAATAATTTATTAAGTTCCAGAGAACAAAAAATAAGATATGTATTGATAATAATTAAATAAAAAATGTAGGAATTAACTAAATAACTTGAGAATTTGGGTTAAAATATAAAAGAAATCTGGAAAATTATGTTTGATATTTTTGTGCCTCAAATTTCTTTTAATTGAGTATTATAAACCTGTATAAAGTATAAAATGCATTTAAATATAATAAACTATACTAAAATATTACACAACTTTAAGTATTCAGCGTAAAAATATATAGTATTTTATTAACAAACAGTAGAATTATTTATTAATCTGTATGTAAGAAAATAGAAATAAGGTACCCTAAAACAAAAAGTTAACTTTTCCTTTTTTGTTGCTATGGTGTATTTGGACGAAGCATATTTTATAACAAACATAATATGTGATAGGTTGGTATAGGTATTTTTATTTTACCAGCAGATATAGGTATGCAATTTGTCAAAGTAGATAAGAGAAAATGTCAGATAAAAGTACTGAGCTAGATCCAAATAAAATAGAAGATTTTGCTTTTATTGGTGATTTTCCGTATTTTGTTCCTCAAGAAAACAGTGAAGCAGATAAAGGCGATGACAAGAGTAAATATATCTATAAATAATACACTTTAGGATAATATTTTTGGTGTACATAATAAATTGTACAAATATATCAAAATACACCAAAATATTTATTTAAACTTTAAACGGACGTTTTACTAGACATTCTAGAATCATCACCGGATGATTTAAAACTTAATAGATTTGTATAATTTAAGGTAGATGATTTAGCATTGAGTTTCTTTACAAAATACAAATATTTCACATAATGCTAAAACATTTGGTAAAACCTACGTCTAGAGTCTATATGAACTTTATTGGCGTGTTGTGGTGGATTTGTGTTTTTTTCAGATATCTATATTAACCTTTAAGAATAGTTTAGTTAATAATAATAATAATATTAACCTTGAATATTTAAATGTTTATATTGGAAACTGTTTGACTTGCACAGCTAAATTGACTAGTTGAAATGGAAATCAGGAATAGGAGCAGTTACAGAGGTACAAAGAAAATTTTAATAATATGAGAATGACGGATTATTGCACTGGAGAATGGTAATGCCGGTATAGTAGAAAATCAAGCAGATAATAAGATAGACAGACATGAAAATTTAACATATTTACTGTCCGTCGCCTGTACCTAAAATACGTTTTTTGCCGCTTTTTAAAGATAAAACACATTCATCCAACAATTTTTATGCTTAAAAATATTCAGTTTAAGATAATCTTGCAAAAAAATCCCAAAAAAGTGTTAAATGCGTGGGGACCTATTGTGCACCAGAGCCTTCCAAAAATGTTTAAATATGAAATCAAAAAAATGATGGACAATTCTAGCAGATACTTTGCTACAGACACCAGCTACCAAATCGACAATAGTACAGCATCGCAACAGCGCAAATATACTACTGATTTATAAAAAAGCAGTAAGACTATTTGTCAAAACTGCACACCAATATGCTTACTACCTTTGATATACAATTTTCGCAAGGATTATCACTAATTCACGATTAATAACCTCCGATATGCTGACGATAGGGTGCTCCTAGCTAGCAATGAGAAAAATTTGCAGTGCCTGGTGGACAGAGTTAGCAGTATTAGTCAGAGTCATGGTCTTAAAATAAACTTAAACAAAACAAAATTTATGATTATCAGCAAACTAAATATTGAAAATATCAGGATATAAGTAGAAGATCAAAATATATAAAGGGTAAGAAGATTTAAGTGCTTGGGGTGCTGGCTGAATGATAAATGGGATCTTGATGAAGAAATAAAACATAGAACTGAAATAGCCAGAAACATTTTTTTCAAAATGAAAACTCTACCCTACAACCGAGACCTGAATCTGACTACTCGATGGCGAGCTACCAAATGCTATGTACTGTCTACGTTGTTATATGGAGTTGAGGGATGGACGTTGAAGGCACGGATCATGTCACGCTTGGATTCACTTGAGATGTGGTTGTACCGACGAATGTTGAAAATATCCTGAACCAAACAAATCTTGAAGTATTAGAAAGAATGAATAAGGACCAAGAACTATTGACTACAATAAAACGACGGAAAGCAGCATATTTTGGTCATATTTTTAGGAATAACAAATATAGTTTGCTACAGCTGATCGTTGAGGGAAAGATTGAAGGATGACGAGGTATCGGGCGTAAACGGTTCTCCTGGTTGTGGTATTTGCGTCAGTGGTTTAATATAGGAGAGGCCAGTGCAATTATCCGTTTGCCTGAAGACAGGGAGAAATTTCAATTGATGGTCGCCCTCCGACGAGGAGAAGGCACATGAAGAAGAAGAAGATCACTATACTAGTTAAACAAGCAAAGTTTAGAAGTAGATTTAGTAAGATCGATCATATTCTCATGGCTAAGGAGTGATTATTCGATATTAGTCGAAAAGGAGTGTGAGGGTGTCTACTTAGAACTAGCCTTTATAGATTTCGAAAATGCATTTAATTTGATGGTGCAGCTATAGCCCAACCTACCATGGAGTCTACAAAGATGTAGAATGTAGATATGTATTTTCCCCAACATATACAGAGAAGCTACAGCAATCATGAACGCTTCTGTTGGACAAGAACGGAATAGCAAATCGAGCAAGACAAGAAGATCCAATGTCTCCTAAGGTGAGCAAAGCAACATTGGAGAATATTTCCAATAAATTAAGTTGGAATAACAACGTTATAAATATGGATGCCGAATTCTTAAGGCCATTTAAAATTGAAATGTTCATCGCGGACTAAATAAAGTACAAAATTTAATATACAGTGCGTAATATAAAATACCAACAAATGAGGAAAAAATATTATAGAGATATCAAAAAACTACATAATCATTTATGGCGAATTTAAATATGTAGTGACATATTTAAAAATTTCTGAAAAATTGACATTTATTATTGGTAACCTCAAGTATATTGACATTGGAAATGTTCTAGTTAATATTCATTATTCTTTGTCGTATTTTCCCCCATTTGTTTTTAAACGACATTTTTTGAAAAGTTCAAAAACTAAGTAAACTAATTCTATCAATTTCTAATTCTATATTCTAGATGAGTATGAATGTTCAAGATGGAGCGAGGAACAAATAAATTTTGCGACAAAACCTGAAAATCATTGGAAATATGATTTTTTAGGAGACAAATTTTACTGTAAGTATATTACTATATTAATTTGAAATAATTCTAATAAATAAATCTATGTAATTCTGGAGAAAAAATATCACATGGCAGAAATGCAAGTAAATTCACATATGTGATTTAAATTTAAATCTACGCATAAAAGTTCTCTCCGAGCTTTGTACTCAGTTACTTACTGTATTTTGTATAATAGTATACTATATTTATATTGTATTTTTAGTAGCTAACTAATACATTTTTAGAGTCTGCAAGAAACTTCGCTGTTGATCATAAAACTTTTTAACCTAGAATTAATTTTGTGCTAAAAATAAATTAGAGCGTGTCTAGTGTGTCTTGAAAAAACATTTTTAACAAAGGATGAAATAATGAAATAAGCATATTAAGGTTTATTATTTAGAACAATTTAAATTAAACTATATTAGTGAATAAGCGTGGGTATAAAGTTACTTACGGTAGCACTGAAATAAATGTATGTGTTTTATTATATCTTGCAGATGGAGAGGATGGTCCCATGTTCAAGTTAGCTTTCTTAGAAGGATTAGAACCGGGTACGTTCAAAAATATAACTATTTTTTAAATTTACTTTAGTGAATATCCTTCAACGAGGGAATAAAAGGCAGTGTATTCTCTCAGCCTTATATTATTTTTTTAACAAGTTGCAAGATTTTTAACATTGAAAATGTTTCTGTTATCCTATATAAGGGAGCCCAAATCGAATTAAAATGCTACATTTGCCACACCATGACGTCATATATACAAGGGTATAGGAAATGTCGGCGCAGCGGCGGCAGTCGGCCAGCGCGCGCAAAAACCATTGCATCGCTAATTGTTTATTGATATATCTTTATTAGTTTAAAAGCAAAAAATATGGGGTTTGCTTTGATACCTTGTCAAGACATAAGCGAAACTTTTAAATTGTTTCTTTTTTTCATTTAGGCCTTCGTTTTTCGTTAATTTCTCCCATTTTTCTTATAGTATATTTTTAATTTTCTTTTTGTTTATAATATGTTTAAAAGTTACTATTAAAAACTTGTAACTTAAGTACGTAGTTAATTGATTAATGCTAATACATCTTAAAAATAACATTTACAATAAAAGATAAAATGTATATCACATCTTAAAGAATTATGATATTTAATAACAGTATACATTATATTATGTCTTGAATAATATTGCTTTAATTTACTATACAGGGTGTCCCAGAAATGAGTGCAGATATTTTTAAGGGTGGTAGATCTGGTCAAAATAAACATATTTTCTCTTTACCATTTTTAAAATACATTGAAAATAACCGAGTTATTTAACTTTGAAAATTTAAAAAATAATCGCAACATTTTGAGAACTGCCGGCAGATATCGCCAACTACATCCAATTACCTGTATCAAACCCAGATTTCAGTTAATTCGAGGCACACTATGTGTTGCCATAGGGACAAAGAAAGTATATGTTAAAAGTAAGTCATAAAATCACAACACCTGAGAGGTTTGCAGAGATGCATTACATTTTAAGATTGTGATATTATTACATAAAATAAATTAAAAAGTTAAATGTTTAATAATGTGTTAAAAAATGTGGTAAAAATGTCAAATTAAAAACTTACCCAACATTAAAAAGATACTTATGACAGATCGATGTAACTGTGACAGTTCTCTTTTTCGATATACTAAAAATGATAAACTAAAATACACTTCACTGTGCTGCTTGTACATGCTATTATAATAACTACTAAAATAACAGTCCCCATTTTTAACACATTATTTTCATATAGCCCTCATCACAATTTGAATCACTGATTTACAAAACACCTTGAAAAGCACACATTACTTTGAATACCTTTCTGAATGAATAAATGTTGAGAATTATTGTCTCTTACCGCCACTTTCCGAACTACTTTCAATCTAAGAATATACATGTTTCACTCAACAATTTTAAATACGTATTTTGTTTTTTCGCAATTTTTTCTATGTATTTCAACAATTCCATCGACAGCCCAATCGTTGCGTCAGCCGTCAGCCAAGAGAGCGGCGCATCACTGGTAACTGCTCCTCTGTCGCGCCGCCGTGTCGAGCTTGCGTCATGCGAGGTTGCCGTAGTTTTAACAATTTCAAATTCAAGACACTCGAAGCAATTAAATTTTAAAAATAAAACAGAAAAACATGAAAGGAAACAAACAAAACGCAAATGAATTGGTTATTGATAAGGTCACAAAAAAGATATTTCTAAAATGTTTATCGTAATTCAGAATTCAATACATCGAAAACAGCCCGACGAATAATCAATTCATTTTTGTTTTGTTTATTTCCTTTCATGTTTCTCTGTTTTATTTTTAAAATTTAATACGAATTTGATTGCTTCGATGTCTTGAATTTGAAATTGCTGTAACTGCCGCGGCAACGTTGCTTAACATCGTCGTCTGACGCAAGACCGTCACGACGGCGCGGCGACCGGCGACTCAAAGGACCAGTTCACACGCGGCGGTTCTTGGCTGACGGTTAGTGTGCAGAACTACAGTGCAAGCAGGTTTGCCGCTTACTGGTAGTCAGCGCCAATCTGGGCACTCATTCTTGACATCGTTTCGCAACTTTGCGTATACGCATCACGTGTATTGTTATAAACATGGTATCCCAGAAATAAGTGCAAGTATTTTAAAAGGGGGTAGATCTCGATAAAAAGAAACATATTTTCTCTTTATCGTTTTTTCAAATAAACCCAAAATAATGGAGTTTTCAAATAAGTCCAAAATAATGGATGCCTCGTCGTCATTCAGTCTTTCCCTCAACGATCAGCTATATATAGGAAACTATATTTGTTATTTCGAAATATGACCAAAAATATGCTGCTTTCCGTCGTTTTATTGTAGTCAATAGTTCTTGGTCCTTTCACAGTCTTTCCAATACTTCGAGATTTGTTTGAGAACCACTGGATCTTTTCTGGATTTTCTTTCTTGTAAATTTAATCTACTACCTATATTGCAATATTATCAAGAAATTATTTTTTTAAATAAAAACTAAAAATCCAAAAAATCCAAAATATTTTCAAAAAATTCAGAATTTTCAAAAAAAATTATTTAGAAAAAAACCTCCGTGTTTCTGGGGTTGAACTATACTACCAGTTAAGTTAAAATACTTGCACGTATTTCTGGGACACCCTGTATATGGGTACATAGTAGCGCCGCGCCGCGCCGCCTCGCGCTTATAACCTTGAAAAATTAAAGCGTGTTATCAAATCGGCTAATTCACAGTGAAAGCAGGTAGGCGCCGTCAACCAGCGTTCATCTGCTTTCTCGCTTTTACCGGAACGAAAATTTATTTATTTCTGCTTTTGTACTCGCCGACGGCGCACAGAGCGTATTAAGAACTAAAAGTTGGCCAAAATTATGTTTTATGATTTTTTTGCTTTTTTGCTAGTAATATTAATTATTAGTGGAGAGGGTGCTAATATGGAACCCCATTTTGTTTTTCCTACACAATATTTTTTCCTCTACTCTGAAACCCTTTTCACCGATCAAATAGGGCCATTCTGTGCAAAACCAAGCAATTGGATGAGGATGCTAGAACAAGAAAGTAATTTGTATATTATAGACGATATTTGAGCGAGGATGGGTGTTTTAGGGTAAAGACTATTTCCTTTAAGAATCTATTTAAATCAATGTTTTTTTTGGTAGTGGCAAATATTGGCAAGATTTTTGTACATATTCCAAAGCTGGAGACTTTAAGCATTGAACGGATACTAATTTGCATGCGGAATATTGCCGAATAGTCTTACACCTTATAAAAATGCCTCTGATTTTTTAAATAAAAAACATTATAAAGAAATAGAATAGAAGGAAACGTTTCAAAATAAAAATTTGGCATAAAACAGGACTTGCCAGCTGGCTCTGTATCCATCATGACAGTTATTATAAACAATTTGCAAAAAAAGCACTACAAACAATTCCACTATTTTGTAATCTTAGAAATATTCAGAATACACTCAAGATAATTCATACTTATAATTGAAATATATTATTTATTTGATAGTCAACTTACGACTTAAAAAAAGCTAATAAACGTGCTTACATTTAGTATTTATAGATTTGTATTTAGTTAAGATAAAAAATGAAAATAGAAAAATATCACTTTTGGCCAGGTTTATAGACCAAATACCCCTATGTGCGGCGCCGGCGCGGCGGGCGCGGCGTTTGAATATGGTTAGGTTAGGTTAGGTTAGTTAATCAGGTAAATTTCCTCTTAATTAACTATTCCGAACCCTGCTCGCATCTCCGAAAAAGCCATATAACAATACACGGCATATACGCAAAGTTACGCATCACGTGTATTGTTATATGGCTTTTCAAGATGCAGATAATAATATATGTGGTCAAGAATAGGTCCCCAGAGACGGCGCTGGTTGCCGGAAAGAAAGCGAAACCTGCCTCCACTATGTTCGTACCCTTAGGCCAGAGAAGAACGACCGGTTAGGCTGTTGATGCAATTGTCGAAATACATCGAAAAAATAGCTAAAAAAATACGTTGTCAATAATTGTTGAGTGAAACATGTATTTTCTTAGATTGAAAGTAGTTCGTATAGTGGCGATAAGAGACAATAATTCTCAACATTTATTCATTCAGAAAGGTATTCAAACTAATGTGCGCTTTTCAAGGTGTTTTGTAAAACAGTGGTTCAAATAAAACAGAGAAACATGAAAGAAAACAAACAAAACAAAAATGAATCGATTATTCGTTGGGCTGTTTTCTAAATTTCTTGAATTGAGTTCTAAATTACGATAGACATTTTAGGAATTTCTTTTTGTGACCTGATTGTGAATAATATGAATCATTTTATTAATTTTATTCCAAAATAAAATTATTTTGCAGTATAACAAAGATTTTCGTAAACGTCATAAACGTAATGTTTTAGTTAATTTTCTGTGGTTTTTGTTAAGTTTTCATTGAAAGGGTAAGTACTAAAAATAATTAATGTGTTTTTTTTTTCTATAATTATTAATAATGAGTACTGATAAAAGATTAAATTTAACATTCCTAATTTTTTGAGTAGAAATTTGTCTATGAATTTATAAAAGTAGAACTATGTTCCGTCGAACTATGTAGAATGTGGATAACATAGGAGATTGCAACACTGCAAGGTTTAGATACACCGTAGGGAGATCTCAGGTGAATAAACAAGTGACACTAAAAAGTTTTTTCAAATTTCCCGGAAAATGTCAAGAAAAATTTTAAATTTTCAACATTTTTTTTTCGCAAAAAAAACTCATAGGCGTGTTTCTGGGGTTGAACTATACTACCAGTTAAAATATTTGCACTTATTTCTGGGACACCCTGTATATTAATAAATCATAAAAACAATATATATAGCTAAACTATTATAAAAACAATATACTGTGTGCGTCTCAAAAGTGGCTCACCCCTATAACTTTTTTATTTTTTTCGGATAAAAAAACGAGATTTGGTATGTTAGTATATGACAAAAATTAGGACTGATTGATATATTCAATTGTTTACGGTCACTTCCCGTTTCACCGGAAATGAATACACCTTTTCGAAATGGCCCCCTCGGTATTTTATTACTTTATTCGATAGAAAATGACACTGAATAGAATGGCATATCATATGTCAACTTTTGACATTTTCGCATATGGTTTATTTGAAATTATAACATGCTGTTCATAATGACAATTTGACTTGAAATACCAAGTGTGTGGTATTAAATTATTCGTAAAAAAAATGCTTTTTCTAAATATGCTAATGAGCCACCCTCGTTCCATTTTAACAAATTGAGATATGATTAAAAATACGATTTGGGTATTTTTGAACCGACCAGGACAAGACACTTAAAACATTAGACGATCAAATATATTTTTCCAAGGCTCCTGGATTAAAAATTAGTGTTTTTAACTAGATTTAAATTTAAAATACAATTTTGATTTAAGCGAAAATGTCAAAAGTTGACATATGATATGTCATTCAATTCAGAGTGTCATTTTCTATCGAATAATGTAAGAAAATACCGACCGTGCTATTTAAAAATCAAAAGTTGTAGTCATTTCCGGTGAAACAGAAAGTAACCAAAACAATTGACTACGTCAATCAATACTAATTTATGTCATATACTAACATTCCAAATTTGTTTTTTTTTTATCTGAAAAAATAAAAAAATTATAGGGGTGAGCCACTTTTGCGCACAAACGCACCCCGTATAGCTTAAAATTAACAAGAATAAATTAACTACATCTCTGAAAGAATTTATAAAATGCAATATATTGTCTTTACAATGCTATTTACAGTAATGATGAAATAAAATTCATTACAACCAAGTAAATCCACCTAAATAAAATACGTTTTTAATTATTTCTCTTTCCTGTTCTCATTTTCTTATTGGCAATATCTTGAACTTGAAATTGGAAAAAAAACAAAAATATTTTTCTCATTTTCTTTAGAATTAGAAAGATCAAACGAAACGGCATTTTGTTCTTTTAAGGGAATTAAAACAGATTTTTTGTTTTCTAGATAATTCCGGTAGCCTCCAACAATTCAGCTTTAAAAATATTAATTCCCAAGAGGCGGACAAAAGAACAGTGAATCCAGACAAAGTTAATTTTGAGGTAAAGCTAAAAGATAGCATTTCGCAAAAATTATACAAAGGAAGAAGTAAATTTAAGAAGAGGTTGTTTTAAATTTTTGTCGTTTTAAGATAATAATAAATTAAATTTGATAGATTATATATTTTTTATGGTGTATACTAAATTTGTGTTTTTTTAATTTAAAGCCGTATATTTTTAATTAGAGCAGCTCGGTGGTCCTCCGTGGCTAGGAATGTTTCGCACTTGTTTATTTTTTTATTTCTATATTTTTTAAATTATATATCCTCTTCTAAAAAAATCTTATTGTATTTCTCTGTACTGCTTTGGATGTATCAGCACTGAAACAAAGTCCTCTAAGATTAAAATATATTATTTTTTGTTAAATTTAGGATTACATTTTTTAATGGCTTTTTTCAACTGATTTGTGATGACTTTGAATAAGTCGACACAATTGCAATCGAATTTGACAATGACACAATCATAGTTTTGCTGCATAGGTATGATCGATAGCGGCTCCAATTTCGTTAAGTTTGCGCATACCACCTGTGACGTCATACGCCATACAAAAAAATATCCATATGTTCAATTGCCACTAATAAAAAAAAGATCCAAAATAGGGAAGAATTAGGACATAACCCCAAAAGTTATGTCAAATCATCTAGCTTGACATTTAAAAAATTATTTTCACATTTATTGTGTCATCTGTTTGACAATTTGAAATTGGCGCGCAGAGCTTGCCGACCAATAGTGCCGTTTATCACCTGTGATGTAGTGACCAACCTGCGCAATATCATACCTTGTATTTTTTGTATCATGGTTTTGCTGGTATTTTAATTGTAACTTCCTCTGGGCCGTATTATTAAATTTTACTAATTTGTAGGTAGATTTTTACAAATAACATTTAAATGAGGATTTCAAATGAAACGAAATTCTAGACGAATGTACAATTTTAATGCCTCTACAAAAAAGTCTAATACAACTTTTGAATAAAATTATCTGGAGAGATAATAAGCTACACAAAACAATAAACGCATATTTTCTAAACAAAAATATTAATTTGAAAAACAAGACACTTTGAATTTTCTGGCTTACGTTTCTAAATAGTTTGTATACTGTAAAGGGAAATATTCGAAACAATAAGCTCTGACATGCAATTTTTAGTCTACAGACTATTTGGTTGCAAAAGTGAAAACAATACGTACTTATGTAATGCTACGCAATGCAATCAGATATTCGGCCGATCGACTCCATAAGAATGTATTGTTTTCACTTTTGCAACCAAATAATTTTGGATTCTAACCACATTTTCTCGCGATGGATGTTAATCAAAAGCCAAAATGACATTCCTCGCAAATTTTGAAGTATAATTAGTGGAAAAGTAAAAAGTATGTTAACTTTTCCACTAATTGAAAATTCCTACCACTAATTTTGACGTTCTGAATGCTTATATTCAAATTACAGGAACAAACTTCTACGCTAATTGAAACCACTAATTTATTCTACTAATTGCTAGGATCTGAATGAAGCTTTACTTTATGATCATTCACAATGTCTAAAAACACAATTAAAATTAGTAAAATATCGTAGCAACAGCTTGCGGTATTCTGCTGTATCCATAGAGAAAGCATAATATTTAGCTTATAAAAAAATAAACTTCTGATTTCTAACCAAAATTTTTCTTGACGGATGGCCAAAATGACATTTCTCGCAATATTTGAAGTAGAAAAGTCAAAAGACTGTTAACTTTTTCTACTAATTGAAAATTACTAACACTGATTATGACGTTCTGAATACTTACATTAAAACTTCTACGGCTAATTGAAACTACTAATTTATTTCATTGATTTTGAGGTTCTGAATGAAGCTTAATAATTATTGTTTTTCAAATATGCAATAATTGTTTTGAGTAGTATTGACATTTTCAAAATTTACATGGGATTTCCTGTCCAGTGTTCCGGTACACCACACGGTATGAACCTACTTTTATTTTGAACTTAATTGATATTCGTTACTTGTTACACCACTAATACACACTTGTTACATCTAATACACACACACACACACAATAAAGAAATATGTTATTCTTATTTCTATTTATGATTGATATTCCGAACAAAAATGTTTTACAATCATTATGAACTTGATATAATAGGTACTACCGGAAGTAAAACATGGGAGGGAAGTAAATATATTCAAGGCTACTTTAAAAATGTGGCAGCCAAAAAAGCAATATTTTTTTAATTTCACCATTGTTATTTCCTGCATTGTCGTTTTTTACTTTCAAAGTTAGAGTCGACATCAAAGTCAAGCCCTCTTTCAACAAAACTTCTTTTGAATCGTAAAAGCCGTTAAGCTCCACACCGAGACTCTAATTTGAATAATCTTTAAGGAAATATATTCTATTTTTAGATTTTTTACTCACTAATTTTTTATTGAAATTGAATACTTTTTTGCTTTACATGTTTGAGATATATTTTTAATTTCGTTAATTGCAATTAAATTTGTAAGCTTTTCTCGAATTTTAAGGCAACTCTGTACATACATACAGGGTAGCGCACCTCATTCGCCTCGGTTGGTTATACGAAAACGGAAAGATGTAGAAACAAAATATTTTATGGGTATATGTGGGGAGGTAATGTGCACAATTTAAAATTATTTTGAATTGTACAGGGTGTTTCAGAACTAAGATCCATACCAAAGTCATATTTTTTCTTATGGAACACCCGGTATTTTATTTCATTTTTGGATTCTCGGGCCCAAAAAAAGGTATTTATTATAAGGGTTCAATATGTTTAAAATCTTTGGTTTTTGAGATATTGAAAGATATTTAAATTTGCATGCTACAGTAGAATAGATTATTAACACCCTGTACATTACTTTTCAGAATTAGTTCTTGTACTGAGTTTAAAGGTAGAGAAATAAACTTTTCAGAAAAATGTTATTCCTTCCTTAAATGTATACAGGGGTATTAAAAATCGCTGGTCTATTTTAAATATTTATTTTACATAAAAACTTCGTTATTTCAAATGCAACACTATGTATTTTTTTAAATAAGTCAAAGCATATTTAAATGCTCTTTCAAAGTATATTAGGGTTTCCTATATCTATCTGGCTCAGATTTTGAATAAAAAGCGATTTTTCAATAAACTTGTAATCAAGATGGCTAATGTTGTCATGGCAAGTTTCTAGTGACAGTTTAGTAGCTATTTTCAAAATCGAAATTAGTTTATGGACTTATTTAAATTTATACCAGTTTACTTTAATTTACCTACAATAGTTTAATAAATAATATTTATTAAACATGTGTTTATTATTCTATCAAGAAAAACGAAGAAATAGTCTTTGAATTATTTTACGATGACTTGTAGATACATGGATTTTCTATAAAAGAGCCAATTACGGCAAATTCATTTTCTTCACTTCCAACGACAAGTTTCTGCCTAATAGGTTTTTTATAAACCACACTACCAGGCGAAAAAGGACAAGAAGTTTTTCAAAGAAACTCTTATCAGGAAGATTCCTATTTGGATATCTTTGAGCATAAGCCCTTGAGGCCAAGAAGCAATTTTCCTCACAAAATAATGTCACTAGTAACATATCTATTCGTTCCGCCAGCAGATACTGCTTTATTTTTCTTGATAAAATAATGAATACTTACTTATTAAACTAGGTAAATTTAAGTAAACTGCTATAAATTATAAATAATAATTGTCCATAAACTAATGTCGACTTTGAAAATAGTTCCTACCTGTCACTAAAAAATTGCCATGGCGACACCAGCCATCTTGATTACAATTTTATTTAAAAATCGCTTTTTATTCAAAATCTCATCTAGATAGATATAGGAAACCCTATCTAGAGTTTGAAGAGCATCGAATCTGCTTCGATTTATTTAAAAAAATACAGGGTGTTACATTTGAAATAACAAAGTTTTATATAAAATATATCCTTAAAATCAGCAACTTTTGTTAGCCCTGTATAAATTTAAGAAACCAATACCATTTTCAGTAAAGTGTGATTTCTCTACCTTTAAACTCAACAACGTAAACATGTAATTATGAATAGCATGCAAGAATAATGTTAATAGTAAAGACTATCATTTAGCATGCTAATAATGCCATGTTTAAAAATATCTGCTGGATGAAACTAAAAGTGTTTAACTTTGTTAAACATGACAGATTAACCCTTATACATAAATGCAATTTTAAAATTTGGGCCCAAGAATCCACCCGCTGTCTTAAAATACCAAGGTTCCAACCTCAACTGTACAACTACCATGTTAGCATCATCAGCAGATGATTATAAACTGTTTATAATCATCTGCTGATGATGCTAACATGGTTAGCGAAACGCGCGTCCAGTGTAAAAGTAAAAGTGTTTTGGTGTATTGTGGTGATTTAGTGTTTTTATTTTGCTGTGTAACACCAAAGGTTCCAACCCTCAACTGTAATCTCTACCTTTAAACTCAACGTAAGAATTAATTATGAAAAGTAATGTACAGGGTGTTAATAGTCTAATCTATTGTAGCATGCAAATTTAAATATCTTTAAATATCTTAAAAACTAAAGATTTTAAACATATTTAACCGAGGGGTAAATGTCCTTGTACTTTTTCAGTTTTCCACCCGGCCTACTCTTACTGTCTATAAGCTCACCGTAAAGCAGAGATTTTGGTATGCGGTTTTCTTGCATTCTACATACGTGACCAGCCCATTTTAAGCGGCATTTTGTAACCATGACTCCAATACTCTCGTAGTTAGCTTTTTCAAGGACCGATACGTTTGAGACATGATGGAACCACCGGATTCTTAAGAGTTGTCTAAGGTTGCAACTTGTTTAATGCGTTCATGTGTCGGCGGTACGGCACCCAGGTTTCACTCTCATATAACATGGTGGGGATTATAATTGCTCGGTACACTGCAAGTTTTGTTTTTGTACTCAAGTTATGATTGTAGAAAACCCTGTCTTTTAATTTCCAAAATGCTCTTGAGGCGCTATTAATCCTGTGCTGAATTTCAGAGTCAATATTGGCCTTTTCCGAAATCAAACTGCCAAGGTAATTGAATTCCGCCCCATATTCCAATAGTTCTTTTCCGATTTTTATAGCATTGTTGTGATCTTCCGGGGGAGTGCACATGATT